AACAGTAATTTTTTTCTTTTTTTTTTGCGGTACGCAGGCCTCTCACTGCTGTGGCCTCTCCCGTTGCAGAGCACAGGCTCCGGACGTGCAGGCTCAGCAGCCATGGCTCACGGGCCCAGCCGCTCCACGGCATGTGGGATCTTCCCGGACCAGCGTACGAACCCGTGTCCCCTGCATCAGCAGGCGGACTCTCAACCACTGCGCCACCAGGGAAGCCCCAGCCCAACAGTAATTTTACAGCAGTAACTTGTCTAGAGAAAATCCAGGGAGAGGAACACATGTAACAGATATGCACAGGACACTCATTAGTGGGCACAGTTGATTTCCATCACCTCATGTGTTGGTGTACTCATTAATCTGTTAACGAAATTGTGAAAATCAGCAGGGATCTTTGGGCCTATATGAATGTCAAGCTCCTACAGCATACGTAGGGCCCACACATGCAAAAATTCAAGATTTTTCATGGTTATGGAATTTAGCTTCATCTCAGAAGCGTTCTCACATCTGGGAAAAGACAAATTATTCAATAACCAGTATGGAATCAACTGTCTATCTGCTTGAAAAATAAAGCTGGATCACCACCTGACTCCTCCTTTCACCAAAATAAACTGAAAGATGGTACCAAAAAAAAAAAAAAAAATCTTCTGTCTGCAATAAAAACACATGCTGTTTTATAAAAAAAAAAAAAAAATCCACACAAAAACACATACAAGCGTGCATATTTATAAATGTGTGTGTGTGTTTAACCCCATTAAAGTAGGAAGAAAAAAGAATTTGAATTAATGTTTTTTCAACATCCTGGAATGTGGACCTTTCTAAGGATGGCATAAATCCAGAAGTCACAAAATATGACACATCGGTTCTTGTAAAAACTTTAAACTTCTCCATGGAAAAAAAGAGAAAAAACGACCTACACAAGCTTAAAGGAAAGCAATAAACTAAACAAAAATATTTATAACATCTAAGACAAAGGGGAATTTTCTTAATATTGGAAAGCTCTTAAATCAATCAGAAAAAGACAAATAACCTAATAGAAAAATGGGCAAAGGTGATAAATAGTTCACAGAAATTAAATACAAATGACCAAAATATAAATGAAAAGATGCTCAAGCTCATTTATAATTGGAGAAATACAAAATAAAAATAAAACAATACTACAATAATCTTTTTCACATATCAAATTGACATCAACTAAAAAGTTTATTGGACTCAAGAGCTGGCGAGGGTAGAGAGAAATGGGCATTCTCAAAAACTGCTGGTGGGCGTGCAAACTGGCTCTACCTTCTAAAGAACAACATGGAAATACCTATCAAAACGTAAAATATGGGTACTCTTTGTTTCAGTAGTTCCAAATCCTAGGAATTTATCCTACAAATACATTTCTACAATGTGGAAAGCCATAAGAGACAATGCTGTTGACTGCAGCACTTTTTCTAATACTACTGAAAAACTGGTAACATCTTAAATTTAAAACTGGTCCATCAACAGGTTAAATTAAGTCATACCCATAAAATTAAGTATAATGTAATTATCTAAAAGAAAGAAGTTGACTTGTACACACTGATGTTAGAAAGACGCCCAACACATACTACTAAGTGGGGACAGGGGAAACTAGTTGCAATCCAGTATATATTATGTATGAGAAAATTTCTGGAAGGATACAGAAGAAGCTGTTAACTAGGGAATTGGGGAGATGGGGACTTTTACTTGTTGCTTTATTTCGATACTGCTTCCATTTTTTTTAAAGATCATCTATACCTTCTTAACTAAAGAAAAAAAATCAGACACTATTTATTGAAAGGTAGTACTTTCATCTGTGCTCTTACTGTAAGGGAGAAAGGACCTAAAAGTGGTAAAAAAAAAAAGGTTTAGGACCATCAGTCCAAGAGGTAAGTTTGGCACAAATGAGACTCCCTCCCCTCACTCACTCCTAAATCCCCTCGGAAACACCATCCCCTGGGATAGAAATCAGAAAGAATATAACCACTATACACCCTCTGCCCCCTTGGACGTAGGGCCCAGTCAAGTGTGGGAATTTGAATTTGGAGCCTGAATTGTCCACCACCAACCAATTACATCCCACGCCTGCGCAACTGCAAAAATAATCCCAAAAAAGCAAATTACTTACTAAGCTTTAGGTTACATGCATTTTACAATTCTCTTTTGAATACGGACATATGTAACATTCCATCTTATTCAACAAGGGTATTCCTACACGGCACAGTGTACACTCGTCCCTCAGTATCCACAGGGTATTGGTTCCAGGACCACTGCCCCCCATCCATAGGATACCAAAATCTGTGGATGATCCAGTCCCTTATATAAAATGGCATTGTACAGTTTGCCCTCTGTATCCACAGGTTCCGCATCCACGGATCGGGCTGGTGTGGAATCCAAGGATACAAAGGGCCAACTGTACTAAGAAGAAAACAAGAGTGAAATAAAACATGGTTTCTGTCACCAAGTCATTCAAAATCTGGCACACAACCAACCGGAAGGGAGGCCCAATAGGTTATGTTCTCTAGTAAAGTGCCCAGAGAGATTAACCACACCTGCGGGGATCGGAGACTTCACCAAAGAGACGGCATTTCTTAGAACTGAATTATCAGTAAGAGAACCTAACCTTTCCCCTCTTTTCCACTTACTCAACTCTTTTTCTCTATGTAAAACAGGTAAACCTGACACTGTCCTTTCTCTCGTGGCTTAATTCATATCACTAAATACAACACCTCTTTTGTATAAGTTAATGTTGGGTATACTTTGCAGTATTAAATAAATTACTGTAAATATCTTAAAGTTTTATTTATTCAGGAGTTGTTCCATCATACCATAAACAACTGAAAGAGCTCAAAAATTTCAACCAATTAGCTTATAAACTACATCTTTCCAACTATTTCTTATACATAGATTTCATTTATTAGTGAAGATCCTTGGTACAGAAAATAAGGTCGCCCCAGAACAATCACGAAAAAAGCCAGCCTAGGATTTTAAGTCTATAATGGAAAGTACACAATAATCTAAGCGCAAAAAAACAAAGAACTATTATTATTTTGTCTCTGTGTATTTTTGTTCTTATTCTTTTCACCTAAAACTGATCCAGATGCAGATGGGTATACGCTTCTGCCCTTGTTGGGGGAAAAGAAGGAACATGATCTCTAAGAAGTTAAACCTAGAAATTTAAACATTTTTTCTGTAATATTTTACAAAATGAGATCACACCATACATATTTTGTTTATTCAACAGTATATCATGAATATACTTCCATGTCAATGCTTAAAATTCTCATTCTTTTTAGCCACTGCTTAATGCTTCAGACTATGGATAAATAATTTATTAATCCATTACTCTAGGCATTTAGCTTACCTCTAAATTTTTTGCTATTAAAAATAATTCCATGTCTGGCTTCCCTGGTGGTGCAGTGGTTGAGAGTCTGCCTGCCAATGCAGGGGACACGGGTTCGTGCCCCAGTCCGGGAAGATCCCACATGCCGCGGAGCGGCTAGGCTCGTGAGCCATGGCCACTGAGCCTGCGTATCTGGAGCCCGTGCTCCGCAATGGGAGAGGCCACAACAGCGTACCGCAAAAATAAAAATAATAATAACTCCAGGGACTTCCCTAGTGGTCCAGTGGTAAAGAATCTGCCTTCCAATGCAGGGGACGTGGGTTCGATCCCTAGTCGGTGAACTAAGATCTCACATGCCACAGGGCAACTAAGCCACAACTACTGAGCCCACCCTCCTCAACTAAAGAGCCTGCGTGCCGCAAACTACAGAACCCACGTGCTGTGAAGCCCAGGCACCACAACTAGAGAAAACCCGCATGCCACAATGAAGAGCCCACACGCTACAACAAAAGATCCCGCATGCCACAGTGAAGATCCTGCGTGCCTCAACTAAGACCCCACGCCGTCAAAAATAAATAAATAAATAATAACTCCAGGGGGTTCCCTGGTGGCCTAGTGCTTAGGATTTGGCGCTTTCACTGCCGTGGCCCAGGTTCAATCCCTGGTCGGGGAACTGCGATCCCGCAAGCTGTGCGGTACAGCCAAAATTTAAAAAAAAAAAAAAAAATTCCACAAGGAACACTCTGTTTGAAGGGCATTCAACACATGTGTAGGTATTTCTGTCGGACAGCTTCCTAAAAGTAGATCTGCTGAGTCAAAGGTTTTGAACATTTTATATTTTGGTAAGTATTGCCAAATTGTCCCCCAAGAGAACATAAATAAAAGAGAGGACAATTGTACTCTCTGTAGTTAACCATCTGCTTAAAAAACAAGAACAAAAAGGAAAAAATCATGCGGAGAAACTGTACATTTTTCTACGTGCAAAAGCAGACCACATCTTGGAGAAAATATGGGACCACAGTTATAGATCCTTACTTTATTCTTCTTAACACCAGAGCCCCTGTGCTGACTAAACTCTCATCTTAACATTACTCAGCCCATGACCTCCCTCTGGCTTATGTCAAAACCACTTTTCTAGTACACCCTGCCCCCACCCTTGTCCCCAAGCCAATTGTTTTGGGTGGGTGGGAAGGACTCAAGACCTGAAGTGTTGCTGCCATCATCTAACAGCCATGCCAAGCCCCAATAAAACAGAATTACTCCATGCAACGTTCACTTAAATGTTCTACTCTGTTGCTGTTTTAAAGCAGCAAAGGATTAAAATCTTTTAATCAATAATCACTGGCCTACAGGTAGTTTACACGTTTCATTTTGTCCCACATTATCATTACAGTGAGGAGCAAGAGCAGATAAAGGTCATGTTGGTAATTAAAGCTATATTACAGAAATATGAACACCCAAGATATGATTAAATAAGAAAATATTCCTCGGTTCAGTATCATCATTAAACTTGCATTAATTTATAAATATTTAAATGTACCATATGATGATCATAAATAATCTGTTTTTGTCAGTTTCTAAAGTAACGCAACCCATAAACCCTTTGAAAAATTACTGCAGAAAGAAACAGTCAAGAAAGTATACAAGCCAGACTTACATTCAAATGCTGTGGTTGTTGCTTCAGGCAGAACCTGGCCTATCACATCCTAAACAAAGAAAGAATAAAGGAACACAATTAGCCATCTTCTTTATTGCTAACATGCGGCAAATCCTAGAGGAAACAGGAGAACCTGGAAAATATTTTTGAAATGTTGGCATAAACTATAAAAACATTAGCTCATAATCACACTTAGCCCAGCAATCTAAGTCCAGAGTTTAAATCTCTATGCTGGAGCTTAAATCTCTATACTGGGGGTGGGGACCATTTAAAAAATCCTTTCCACTCTTTCCTAATAACATAATTTTTTACTCTCGATTCAACAGCATAGACAATTACACTGTTGTGCATTTATAAAAAAAAATAGGTTTCTTCCATGGGAGGCTATAGAAGGAATGTACTGTTAGTAGAAAAAGAGGTTTGGGGAGTCAAGACTGGCCTGGGTTTGAATCTCAGCTCTGCACTAAACAAGCTGTGTGACTAGCAACAAATTACTCAACCTCTCTGAGCCTCAATTTGATTATTCTCCAATATGGGTCTAATAATGCTTACAGAGGTAATGTAAAAAGTATTAAATAATGTAATAAACATTAACATGAACTAGCCTAACACACTGTAGACCTTCAACAAATGCAGCTCTGGATATGTGACTACCAACACCTTTCCTTGCACTCATACTGGGAAGAGTTCAAAAAACAAGTTTCCGTGATGATGATGTAAATCTACAATACTACAATACAGTTAACACAAACAATTCTTATCAATCTTTACTCTTGAGCAACTAAAAAACATATTTAATGACACCGAAATAAAGTTAATCTAGCCTACAAAAGAAAAAGTGTATATAACCTGATATCAATGTTTAAATGAATCTATAAAGTTGAAAACACTTAAAAAATAGTCTACAGAGACAGCTTATTTAAAGAGGTACAGAACACCTTCGAGAAATCGTTAGTTCTGGGAAAAGTGACCCTCCATTATCTCCACTCCAACCCAAATGGTCTGCAAACCTCATTGTTCTCAGGGAGCTCTGCCACAACGTCCCTCCTGGGCTGTGCCACAAATGGCACCAGGCAGCCAGCTGACAAAGCCACTTGCAGTATTTCTCAGCAGGGAGCCCACAGCCCTTCCAAGCAGGGCACTTAGCAGGGTGGCGTCTGCAACTTCCTTCTGAAGGCAGTTCTTTAGAAGCTTTTGCTGCAGTGGCAATTTGCATAATAGCCTTGTCTCTACTGTGTATGTGTGTGTGTGTGGGTGTGTGTGTTTTAAATAAATCTGTGCATATAAAATTGATCAAAGGGGACTTCCCTGGTGGTGCAGTGGTTGAGAGTCCGCCTGCCGATGCAGGGGACACGGGTTCGTGCACCGGTCCGGAAAGATCCCACGTGCCGCGGAGCGGCTAGGCCCGTGAGCCATGGCCGCTGAGCCTGCGCGTACGGAGCCTGTGCTCCGCAACGGGAGAGGCCGCAACAGTGAGAGGCCCGCGTACCGCAAAAAAAAAAAAATTGATCAAAGGGAACTATCTTAGGCAGCCCTCACTCATTAGAGCCAAAAGAGATTATTTTTTTCTTCTTACTCTAGTCTTAGCAAATGAAACAACTTTCTGTGGAAGTATTTGTAAAAGATTTTAGTGTTGAAAAAAATCCTTTCTACATATTTGTAGGCAGAAAGTATTTATTGACAGCTAAATGAAAACTGTTGAGCGAGTATAGAATACACAAGCAGCCAGTGTAACGCCTAAGAGTGTGGACGGGAGCCAAACTGCTAGGGTTGGACCTTGGCTCTGCCGTTCAGTCACTGAGTGACTGAATTTCTCTGTGCCTCCGTTTCCTTCTGTGTAAAAATGAGATCATAACTGTACCTACCTTGTAGGACTAATGAGTTAATATTTATAAAGTGTTTACAAGAGTGTCTAGCACATGGTAAGTGCAAGTATTAGTGTCTGTTAAATAAATAAAACAAGTCACTAATGACTGGCACATTACAAATCTTACCTCATAACGAAATCCTAAATTTCAGCACCTGACAATCAGTGGAGGATGGTCTTTGGTTCACTTACTTCATCCTTCCACAGCATTTACTGAGGATTAGCCAGTATTGGTTTAAAAAGGGGTGGGGGTGGGGGGACCCTCCACTGCCCCAACCCTCCAAGTCTAGGTTATCACTGCTTACTTCCAGACAACCAATCTTGAGATGTGAACCCTGGAGTATTAGCAAACTAATTTAGGATCCTTCCTACTTATGAATAGCAGAACCTGTCAAACAGCAAACTTCTAACAACCATCTGAAAACCCTGCTGAGCAGCAATGGCCTCCTTTGCCCGTCAACATAAACAAGGAGCCACACAAACTTTACAACTAATGCGGGGGGGGGGGGGAGAGAAAGAAAAAGCAAACCTGATTGAGAGAATCATGAGAATCACGTGAACACAACTGACCATCTTGTTCTGTTAAAGCAAATAAAGTGGGGCTATAATAATGACAAAGAGGTAAAACTCAATCAGTATCTCCTGGTCTTTTCTATGCAGGCACATTTAATTTTATGTGTGTTTTCCAGTTGTATTTTAAGTGACTTATTTCAAAATGACCCTGTCTTATTCTCAACATTTTACTCAACTTAAAGAAAGTTTCGAAAGAGCACATAAGTTCACATATCTTGTTGGTGATCATTTCTTGATCCTTTTCTTCTCCTTCCTTTCAATAAATCAGTCAAACAAATAGCAAACCAAAAATATAAATGAGCATCTATAACGTGCCAGGAGGATAAAGATTACAAAACTGTAGGCTACAGAAGAATAAGACTTGCTCCTTGACTTTAGGAAGATTATAATCTGTCACAAAGATAGAGACAAACCTAAAAGACTAACAAATCAGAGCACTTATAGTATGATAAAAGAGCCAAACAAAAGACATAAATTAGCAAACGGTAGGTGCTAACTCAGAAGGCAGTAAAAATCACGGTCTCAGTTAAGATAGAAGAAACTTCACAGATGAGGGGAAATCTGGGCTGGAACTTGGGAGAGAGGATTCAAACAGCAAGAGGAAAGGGGGAACATTCAGATCTCCTGCACAATTTTCCCCAAACTGGGGACTGGATTGCCACGGAGAAACACAGAAAGCTGAAAAACAGATAACCCAAATGCCTCTGCCTATGAGGACCAGCTGGGTCTACTTCACAATGCACCAGTCCCTAACTATTCAGACGAAGGACAAAGGCCCCAGAGAGGCCCAGTGACTTGCCCACAGAGTCCCAGCCATTTGATGGAATTGTGAATGGAGCCCTCAACTACTGACTCTGAGTCCAAAACGCCCTCAGCTCCAGCTGACTCAGTGACTACAAATTGCTTCTGGCTTCCGTGTCTGGTTCTGCCACAAACCAGCTGTGTGGCTTTAGCATTTTCCCCATCAGGGGTTCATGCTTCCTCATTTGAAAACTGAAGTGAGGAGAGATATCAGATGAAGCGGAACATTCCAGGTTTCATTTGGCTTTAAATTTTAAGGTTCCAAGCCAAAGATGCTGATGTGACTGTTGGTTTTTTGCCTATTTCTCAATGAAGAGATAAGGTAAACCTGGAAAAGAGATCTAAGGAGTCCTCCAGGATTTGAGCTTGCAGTTCCAAGAACTTGATATACAGCACCCATTGTCACGAGCCCTCCATGAGGCCTTCCCAACATAACACGCTCCACCTGGGCGTACCTGAGCAAGCACGTGGCACATGGCACTCTGAGCTCTCAATGGTGGGACCATTTGTGCAAAGTTTATTTTTAGGCCAGTCATCCTTGAGCCAATGTACAATTGAGAGATGCCCAGGCCCTATCCCTTCTGCTGCAATAACAACACTTATAGAGCACTTACTATGCTCCAGATTGTTGTAAGTACTTTACACATACCAACTCCACTAGTCCTCAGAACTCTGTGAGGTAGGCACTACTTTTATCCCCCCAACGCTATTTTTGTCTTTTTACAGATGAAGAAACTGAGATACAGAAGACACTTGCCCAAGTGAGTCTGGTAAGGCTTACGATGTAAACGCAGTCAGCCTGGCTCCAGTTTGTGTTTTTAACACTGTACCATTCTACTTAAAATAATACCTTCTGTTGTCTCAAATGAGTAAAGTGAAAGAAAGCTCTTGTCTTTCTCATCAGAGACACAATCTCACTTAATCTTTACAAGTCTTTGAGGCAGGTATCATTATCCCTAATTTACAAATAAAGAAACTGAGGCTCAGAGAGGCAGAGTGACGTGCCTAGTTAGTGGGATGGTTTACAATTAAACACAAATTTCTTGATTCAAAACCTAGTGTGCTGTCTACAAAACCATAACGGTGTGCGTCCTCTTTGAAGCTCCCTCATTAAATATTTCAGGGTCCTATGAAGCATCAGAAACAGACAGGAAACAAAGGTGTCCGTCTCCTCCAGAAGTTTACCATCTCGTGGAGGAGACAGACAAAATTAGCACAAAACCCATATACTTTGCCAAAACAAAGCTGTGGAAACACAGAGGAGGGGCATGTGACCAAGACCAACACAGAGGAAAAGCTGGGCTTTGAAGGACAGGTGGGAGTTGGCGAGCTGAAGACAGAGGCCCAGTGAAGAAGGCCTGGGCACCTGGGAGAACTCACTGTTAATTCTATATATCTGGAAGACAGGATGCTCATGGGGGTGTAGTGAGAGATGAAGCTGGTGCCAGGCGGGTACAAGCCAATCAAGATGGGCCCAGAGGGGCTTCCCTGGTGGCGCAGTGGTTAAGAATCCATCTGCCAACGCAGGGGACACGGGTTCGAGCCCTGGTCCAGGAAGATCCCACCTGCTGCGGATCAACTAAGGCCGTGAGCCACAACTACTTAACCTGCGCTCTAGAGCCCGCGAGCCACAACTACTGAAGCCTGCACGCCTACACCCCGTGCTCCGCAACAAGAGAAGCCACCACAATGAGAAGCCCGCGCATCGCAACGAAGTGTAGCCCCCGCTCACAGCAACTAGAGAAAGCCCACGTGCAGCAACAAAGATCCAACTCAGCCAAAAATAAATAAATAAATAAATTTATTAAAATATATATATATATATATATATGCTCAGAGGACCACACCAAGGAGTTTGGGCCTTACCATGAAGGGAGATCCATGTGCATGTGAGCGTGTGGAGAACTCTGGATGCAAAGAGAAGGATGGCATATGTGTACAAGATCGGAGGCTGCTGGTTTACTCCAGCTTCTGCACTCCTTGTGTAGACACCTGAAGATCTGTATGTTCTAGGTGGTCAGTAACATCCAGAACTCAAAATGACGGTACACAGATCAAATTTTGATTGAGTAACCTATGACAACCAAAAAACACATCCCAGATCTTCCTCTTCCCCCAAACCTCCACCCAGCCCCATCTTATCCTGCAGGTAAGTTCCAGTATAGATCTGGTACTTGCAACATGCTCCTTGGTATGTCAGCTCTGCCTATGATAGCGCAGTTATTCAAAATATAAAATGGGCACGATGTACTCTATCTCACATGAATACTAAAAGCTGAGAAGTAGTACTACAGCATGTGGAAATAAATACCAAGTAAAGTAAGGAAATCTGAGTTCTGGCACTGACTCTCCCACTCACAAGTAACATGGCTTTGGAAAAGCTATTTCACCTCACTTCTCCTCGGTAACTATCTGCAAAAAAGATCAAAGGGCTCAACAGGCCACCTCCAAGGTTATCATCTGCTCTAACATTCCATGATTTTATTTGAAATATATTTTGAATATTTATTATGAAAGTAAGACTACATCATTGACTCTAAGATGCACATTTTCCCCTCTATTTTAACATCTCTGAAATTGGGTTTTGTACGATGTGTGGCATGTCATAGTTTAACAGGTCGCATTTTTTTTCTTTCTTAGCGGTACATAAAATAATATCTTAAAACTTATGATGTCTTAGGCTTGCTGAAACATGATTGGTTAGAGTTGCCTTGTTTCCCTTTCCCACTAGCTACCAAGTTTAGAGAACTCAGTAGAAAGGCTGGAATTTGGCCAGGGACATTCCAAAAAATCCTTGAGAAAAACTCTCTTCTAGGTTCAGCTTTTTGTATCCCAGTTGGTTGCTTCTGTGTGTTATGTCCCAGTCCAGGCTGTGAGTTCCTTGAGGGCAGGGGTCCAATGTGATTCATCTCTGCTTCCCCAGGAACCTGCACACTTGTCAGATTTCAGTCTATACAATTAATCAATGCTTGTGGTGGAAGAAATAAAACTGCCCCCATACGAGGCCAGCAATGGCCACTAGCTCAGGCCACCAGGGTAAGATTTGGTGATCAAGGTGCTTACTGCCCTACAAATCCCTGCGCCCCCCTCGCTAGGGATACTGAGATTAGCACTTACCAGCACATCCCTGAAGAGTAGCTGCGGCCCAGAGTGCACTGTCCAGTCCACGGCTCCACTATTTGGAATCTTGATGCGAATCACCAGCACCTGGTTCTCCATGGCATGGAAGGGGCCAAGGGCCAGCCACAGCATTACAGGTTAAAGGGGCTCACATCCTGGTAGGGGGGAACCCCCTGGTTCCTGGTTAGGCGGGGGCTCTTAGAGGTGACAAGGGGACTGAGGGTCAGAGGACAGAGGGGGAGGAGGAGTGAAGAGAGGAGGTGGTCCGGAAGCAGCCCGCAGGCTCGGAGCCAGGCCCAGGCTGTATGGGGTTGAGGGATGTCTCCCTGTGAGCGTGGACGGAGCAAGGGGTAGGAGCCAGTAAGAACTAGCAGAGATCAGAAGGTTCTGGAGTTGGAAAAGAGAGCAAACGGCATCTTGCAGCTCTCTGCCGTCTGTGTGGGTGTGAGGGGACAGCACAGAGAAGACGCCGTTTTAGAGAGATAGGGCGGCAGGTGTCCACTCCTCCTTAAAGAAGCGGGGAGGGTCCCCGACTTGAGGGGACTCAGTCCGGGGCTGTTAGGAAGGAGCCCCAGGGCCGCCGGACCACAAGAAAGCTGAGGGGGCCCTCCGCGGGAGGATCGGGGGCGAGTCCTCTGCCCCACCCCGAGCCAGAGTGCACGGCGCGCGCGACTCAGAACCTGCAACCCGAGGCCGCGCGTCCCGGCGGCGGCGGCGACGTCGGCGGCGGCAGCAGGAGGGGGAAGGCGGCGGCAGGAGGGAGAAGGCGGCGGCAGGAGGGAGAAGGCGGCGGCGAGGACACTGTTACTCCGGAACCAAAACGCGCGACGCCGGAACCCTGGAAGCCGGCGAGGGGACCCGCCTCCCGCGGCGCCATGTTGGAAGAGGGCAGCTCGTGGCCGGCCCCGCCCCCGCTCGCCGGTGGGCGGGACCCGAGGAGCAAGGGCTTGGCGCCGGGGTCGGAGTGAGGGGACCGACTGGACTCTTCAGTCGTGAGACCCCACCTCCCCTGTCGCGAAGTGACCACCCATGGCGACCGGGTGATAGCCCTTTCTTTTCCCGACCCTCATTAAAGTCAGCGAGGTGAAAACATTTAACAAAAGAAGGAGGAAACTGAACTAGAGCAGGGGTCCGCCAAAAGCCGATTGATGGCTTAAGATGCGTTGTTTCCCTGTTCAGAAGACTAGAAAAATAGAACTGCCCCTCTCGTTTATTCCTACTTTATCAGGCCCTGTACCTAAATATTCGTGGAGGTTTGTGCATCAAATGATCAAGAGCAAGGTTGACTTCCAAGTGACTTCTTCCAAGTCACAGATCCGGAGGATCATCTTTCTCCCAAATGAGCAAAGCGAGTGTGGATTTTTCAGTGAGGTCCGTTACCCCTATGGTTACCCTAAAATAGCAAACAGCGCACTATTCAAAAGCAACAGTAAAGAAATTCAGTGAAGAGTTTAACTGCCTGGGTACAGTTGCAGTAGTGGCATCATCTTTTCTTATTAAACCTTTGAAAAAAAAATTTCCTAGACAGTCCATAAACTTTCAACTAGATACCAATGTTTACGCAGTGATATCACAGGCAGTAGCTTGGTTATTTTTAAATTCCTTGTTAACCTCAGATTTTTAAATGCATAATTTTGTTCATCTATGATGCCTATACAGAAGTTTGTTTACAAACTGCAACGCGTAGTTTCGTCCTTTACCTCTAAGAAAAGTCCACATATCGCTTTACTTTGAGGGGCCTGAATTTTGTATAAATTCGGTAGGAGAGGAGTGTCATTCCCCTCTCTAACAAATAGTTGATGAATGCGAGAGAAAAAATAATTTAAATACTGGTCAGTTTGGGTATAATATCAGTTTTTTACTGCATATTTTCTCTACCTGCATTCCTTTTTTCTTTTGGTAGTCTCTGTTTTATTTAGTTATTTATTTATTATTGATTTATTTATGGCTGCGTGGGTCTTCGTTGCTCCGCCCAGGCTTTCTCTAGTGCCGCTCGTTGTGGTGTGCGGTCTTCTCCTCCGCGGCACGTAGGATCTTCCCCGACCAGGGCTCAAACCTGTGTCCTCTGCATTGTCAGGTGGATTCTTAACCACTGCACCACCAGGGAAGTCCCTACATTCCTTTTATATTTAATTTGAAAGTCCATTGTAGAAGATAAATTATCTCTTTTCAGTTATTGTAAATGAAGAGCTTAGGTAGAAATTCATTTAGTCAGATCCTCCAGGTAGTCAAAGAATTGCCCTTTTCCGAACACTCTTGCACTGCTGGTGGGAATGTGAATTGGTTCAGCCACTATGGAGAACAGTATGGAGGTTCCTTAAAAAACTACAAATAGAACTACCATATGACCCAGCAATCCCACTACTGGGCATATACCCTGAGAAAACCAAAATTCAAAAAGAGTCATGTACCAAAATATTCATTGCAGCTCTATTTACAATAGCCTGGAGATGGAAACAACCTAAGTGCCCATCATCGGATGAATGGATAAAGAAGATGTGGCACATATATACAATGGAATATTACTCAGCCATAAAAAGAAACGAAATTGAGCTATTTGTAATGAGGTGGATAGACCTAGAGTCTGTCATACAGAGTGAAGTAAGTCAGAAAGAAAAAGACAAATACCGTATGCTAACACATATATATGGAATTTAAGAAAAAAAAATGTCATGAAGAACCTAGGGGTAAGGCAGGAATAAAGACGCAGACCTACTAGAGAACGGACTTGAGGATATGGGGAGGGGGAAGGGTGAGCTGTGACAGGGCGAGAGAGAGTCATGGACATATATACACACGAACAAACGTAGTAAGGTAGATAGCTAGTGGGAAGCAGCCGCATGGCACAGGGATATTGGCTCGGTGCTTTGTGACAGCCTGGAGGGGTGGGATAGGGAGGGTGGGAGGGAGGGAGACGCAAGAGGGAAGACATATGGGAACATATGTATATGTATAACTGATTCACTTTGTTATAAAGCAGAAACTAACACACCATTGTAAAGCAATTATACCCCAATAAAGATGTTAAAAAAAAAAAATTGCCTTTTTCCACCTGCACTTCAGTCTTGTGAAAAACAAACCATTTGTTCAAGGTCCCCATGCACTTTTTATTGAAAGTTCATTTCCTATTATTTGAGAAAATAGACCACAAGGCCAGAGATTTTCTATGAACTCATGATTTGTTAAAATGGTTTTTATTGATAGTACTATGGGCAAAACGAACTCAATTTGTACTTTCAATTCTTTTGGATATATACCCACAAGTAGAATTGCTGGATCATATGACAATTCTATTTTTAACTTTTTGAGGAGCTGCCATGTTCCACAATGGCTGCACCATTTTACATTCCCACCAGTAGCCCAAGAGTTCCAGTTTCTCTACACCTTCACCAACACTTGTTATTTTCTATATTTTTGTTAGAAGCCATATTCTCATGAGTATGAGGTGATATCTCAAAGTGGTTGAGATTTGCATTTCCCTAGTGATTAGTGATGTTCATCTTTTCATATACTTGTTGGCCATTTGTATATCTTCTTTGGAGAATTGTCTATTCAAGTCCTTTGCCCGTTTTTAAATTGGCTTATTTATCTTTTTTGTTATAAAGTAATTTTTAAATGAGGAAAATTAACATTTTACTACTATAAGTTCAGAGATGTTTTCTTTCATATCTTTTTACATTGCTCCCAAACTCCAATCCTTAACGGAGAATCTGATCCCTTCCCACTGCTTCTCAGATACTATCCCAGTCCAAACTACCATTACATTTATATTATATTTCTCTCTTAAAGTTCTGTTTCCATTCTTGCCACTGCTACCAATGATCTATGCTCAACCCAATTACCAGGGTTAGAATACCAAGTCACCCCTTTGGTTAAAACTATTCTGATGGCCTCCTAACTTGTACAGAATAAAAACTAAAGTCCTTTCCTTGACCTACAAAACTCTACACAGTCTGCCCTCCACACCTTCTGGCCTTATGATCTCTCAAACGTCATTCACACCAGCCTCCTTCATACTTTTCCTTGAACATATCAGACATCCCACCTCGGGGTCTTGCATTTGCCCTTTCCTCTCCCTGGATTGCTCTTATCCCAATATTCACATGGCTCCCTTCCTCCTGCAGATCTTGACTTAAAAACCACCTTCGTGTTGAGGCCTTCCCTTAGCACAGTCTTGAAAACCAGCCCCAAACCCACCCCACCCACAGATGCGAGCACGCAGGTGTGCACAATTCCTGGTCCCCTTCCCTGGTTTACTTTTCTCCTGGCCCTCACCACTATCTACCATGCCACATGTCTCAATCCTGTATTTGTCTCCTCACTAAACTGTAACTTGGCGAGGGAGGGACCGGTATGTGTTTTATTCACTGCCATGTCCCTCGTACCTAAAATAGTACCTGACACACAGTGGGCACTTGAATAATATTTGTTAAATGAATGACTGGATTTTGAAGGCAAAGTGGGTTGAGTAATAGGAATGCAACTACCATGTGCATCTCCTGCCTGTCTTGAGCCGCAATTGCTCCTTGGCCTTTCCACAACCACTGCCATCGTGGAGACTGAGACCACAACAATTATAGACTCCCACTGAACCACAAACTTTATAACAAATGTTGACTGCCTCCTGTGTTCAAAAATTCCACTTGTCTTCTTCAGTGCCGGGTGTGGGTCCCTACATATATCATTCAAATACTTGTTGATTTGGGGGTTTTTTGTTTCTTTCTTTCTCTTTGGCCACACCACGTGGCTTGAGGGATCTTAGTCCCCCAACCGGGGATTGAACCCGGGCCCCAGCAGTGAAAGTGGCAAGTCCTAACCACTGGACCACCAGGGAATTCCCAATACTTGTTGATTTTGATTTAAAGGAATATGATGAGAATAGAGGATGAAAACAGTAAGTTTCTAGTGGAGAAATCTTGCAGACACCATCCTAACCAAGTGATCAAGGTTAACATCACCAGTGATGTGATGTTGATGTCATGTACTCTCCTATATGATGCAACAAGAAGGGCATTTGACCTGTGGGGTCTTCTTCCCCAAACCCATAACCCCAATCTAATCATGAGAAAACCATCAGACAAACCCAAACTGAGGGACAGTCTACAAAATACCTGACAAATACTCCTCAAAACTGCCAAGGTCATAAAAAACAAAATGCAAAGAAACTATCACAGACCTGAGGAGACTAAGGAGACATGACGATGAAATGTATTGTGGGATCCTCAGTGGAATCCTGGAACAGAAAAAGGACAGTAATGAAAAACCGGTGAAATCTGAATAAAGTCTGGAGTTTAGTTAGTAATAATGTACCAATGCTGACTTTTCAGTTTTGACATAGGTGCAATGATTATGTAAAATGCTAACATTAGGGGAATATGGGTGATGGGAACTCTCTGTACTATATTTGCAACTTTTCTGTAAATCTAAAGTTATTCCAAAATAAAAAGTTTTTTTAAAAAATAAGTTGCATTTCTACATACTTGTAATAATGTCTTAGAAATTTTAATTTGAAAAAGATATAATTTATTGTTATTACAATAACAACTGAAAAATAAACATAAGCATTTTCTTCATAGTGCTTAATATCCATTAGTTTAAAAAAAGGATATGAAGAAGCATGGACAAAAGTGATGGGACTTACCTGGTGGCGCCATGGTTAAGAATCGGCCTGCCAATGCAGGGGACAGGGGTTTGAGCCCTGGTCCAGGA